ATTTTTTATAACCGAGCTGTTAGAAAATTCCTTTAATAAATGCAAAAGTTTTAAAATGGCATAACCTCAATGACGATAAAAATTTAAGTTAATAATCAATTAATTAATTAGTAATTACTAATTATTAATTAATTAATTAATTCTTCTACATTTTTGAAGTTTTTTTTTAATACATTTAACAAAATAAATGATTTACTCTGTTCGTTGAAAAATGTAAAAAAATAAAAAAACTTGAAAACAAAGAAATAGAAGAAAAAACAAAAAATCTAAGTGTGACACCTGCGTCATCTACTGATACCAACTTACAAAAAATTATTGATTTAAATTAGTAAAACAAGCCATTAAATAGAACTGATACCCATCCCAACTTTTAAGAGTAAAAGTTCCCCAATTGAATATATTTTAATTATTGATAAATTAAGTATACAGGGTGTTTCACGTAATTTTACGAAGCCTGCGCCTGTAAGATGCAATCAATAATACATATTCCGATACGAACTCGATTACAAATTTTTAAAAATTAGATAATCTTTTATAGTTTGTTCACCCTTTAAAAAATTACAACGTTTTTAGTTAGTTAGTGATTAAGATAGATAAACTACAATCATATTCATGCCATTTCTTGATAGAACAAATGATAACTGTTTCTGAAAAACTGCAGTTTATGACTGTTAATGAAACAGTGATTAGTTTGACAGCTACTGCTGTCATGGGTTTCCAAAAATTAAATAATTAAATGTGTATTTTTTGTATCCAGTGTTCTGTGACTTTGGTATATTTGGGTGCGTACATTAGGCGCAAGCCTCGTAAAGTTATGTGAAACACCCTGTATTGTAACGAAAATAGAAAAAAAAGCAATAAAACAAATAACATAAAGAAAATTATAACATTGATTTTGTCGCCCAAAAAAAAAAAAAATTAATTTGTAATTAAAAAAATTAACGTTGACACCAATTTCTAATGATTAATAGTAAAAGTTCTCAGTAAAAATAATAAGTAACAAAAAAATGTAATTAATTATTTTCCCTATTGATACACAATCTCGGTTTTTTATTTACTCCAAATTTTTTCATTTGATATTTGCTCAAACATATCGCGCATCCGCTGATAAACAAAATACAAAATATAAATTTTTAACTTCTTGTTTATCATTGTTGAAACATGAAGGTTTTATTTATTTCAAGTCTAGTTTTCAACTGTTTTTATTTAACTGTCCCACAGAAAAACGGATTATGTCCAAAAGTCACAACGTGAGTAATTAATTAAATTCAATTGGCTTTAATTAATTGTAATTTTGTTAATTAGAGTATCAAAGACGAAGACAGTCCCTTATTTTGTGACAATCCGCAAACCTTGCGGTAAACACCCCCCAAGCCTTTGCCCCCCTCAACGCGTAACAAGATACAAAACACAAGTAGGTCAATTAATTGTAATTAAAATTATCAAAAATTAATTATTTTAGACCTACTTAGACAAAATTACAATCAACGAATGCTGTAAAGGCTTCATAAAACAAAACAAACTCGCTTGCGCCCCCTACTGTTCCAAAAAATGTCTAAATGCCAGATGTACCCAACCTGAGACATGTTTGTGCAACCCTGGATATACAAAACATCCCAAAAATCCGTATTTGTGCACTCCTAAATGTTCCAGGACTTGTATTAACGGCATATGTACGGCACCTGAAACTTGTACTTGTAGCAAAAATTACCGGAAAAGTGCCAAAAACCGGTACTTGTGTGACCCTATCTGTAGTCGGGCGTGTGTCAATGGTCGGTGTTCCGGACCGGAAGCTTGTACTTGTAATTCCGGTTATGTCAAAGATCCGAAAAATAAATATTTTTGTGTGCCAAAATGTGCAAAAGCTTGTCAAAATGGCATTTGTACAAGTCCGGAAACTTGTACTTGTAATAAAGGGTTCGTCAAAAATTTAAAAGATAAGTACCAATGTAATCCGACTTGTAGTAAGTCTTGTATCAATGGAAAATGTGTCAGACCTGAGACTTGTGCTTGTAATTTAGGTTTTGTAAAAGATCATCAAAGTAATTATTTGTGTAAGGCGGCTTGTAATAAAACTTGTATTAACGGAAAGTGTACAAGTCCTGAAACTTGTACTTGTAATCCGGGGTTTGTACGAGATACAAGAAATAAATATTTGTGTCATCCGGTTTGTAAGAGTGTTTGTATTAACGGCAAATGCTCAGGACCTGAGTTGTGCACTTGTAATCCTGGTTTTGTCAAAGATTCCAAAAATAGATATTTATGTAATCCAACTTGTAAAAATGTTTGTATTAACGGCAAATGCTCAAAACCTGAGACTTGTACTTGCAACTCTGGATATGTCAAGGATTCTAGAAATAAATATTTGTGTAATCCTGTCTGTACAAAAGCTTGTATTAACGGCAAGTGCTCAGGTCCTGAAACATGCACTTGTAATCCTGGTTACGTAAAAGACGTTAAAGATAAGTTCTTATGTAATCCTGCTTGTGACAAAACTTGTGTAAATGGTAAATGTTTAGCTCCTGAGATGTGCACTTGCAACTCGGGTTACACTTTAGATGTTAAAAATAAATATCTTTGCAATCCTGTGTGTTCTGAGTCTTGCATTAACGGCAAATGTTCAGCTCCTGAGACTTGCTCTTGTAACCCTGGTTATACAAGAGATTTTAAAAACATATATTGGTGTTATCCCATTTGCTCCAAGTCTTGTATTAATGGCCAATGCTCAGCTCCTGAGACTTGTACTTGCTACCCGGGATTTACAACCGACTCTTTAAATCAACACATTTGTTACCCCATTTGTAACCAAACTTGTATTAACGGCAAATGTTCAGCTCCTGAGACATGTTCTTGCAATCCTGGCTACACTCCAGACATTACAAATAAGTACAAATGTAAACCTGCGTGCTCTAAAAATTGCATTAACGGGAAATGCTCAGCTCCTGAGTCGTGCATTTGTAATCCAGGTTTTACAAGCGATCAAAATGATAAATTTTTATGTAATCCTTTTTGTAGCAAAACTTGCATTAACGGCAAGTGTGCCGCTCCTGAGACATGCTCTTGTAACCCTGGATTTGCCGTTAACACAACAAATACATACGTTTGTAATCCAGTTTGTAACAAAACTTGTATTAACGGCAATTGCTCCGCTCCTGAGACTTGTACTTGTAATCCTGGCTTTGCAATAGACACTCAGGATAAATATTTATGTAACCCGATTTGTAACCAAATTTGCGTTAACGGCAAATGCTCAGCGCCTGAGACTTGTACTTGTAATCCCGGTTACGTTAAAAACAACACAAATGTTTGTATCCCTCATTGTAGTAATGAGTGTATTAACGGTTATTGTACCGCTCCTGAGACTTGTACTTGTAATAACGGTTACGAAAATGTTAACAATAGTTGTGCAGCTGAAATTAACGGCAAACCTCAAGAGGAGAAGAGTATGATAGCGGCATTTAAGTACAAATTGTAATTACTTGTAATTATTTTTTGTAATTACGTGAATTTTAGGTCGTTTATGATGCCACTAATTGGATGCTCGGTCGTCTTGTTTGTAATAATTGTAATTACAATTTTTGTAATTGCAAGACGAAGGAAACGACAAAGTAGAGAAAGAATCGACTATCCAATATACGGTAAGAATTTATTTTTAAATTACTTAATTAAAATAATTAATTAATTGTAGAGAATTTGATCCGGAATCCGGTTTTTATAATCGACAACCGAAGTTAACATTTGTAATAATAATATTATTATTAAAATTTTCAGTAGAGAAGTGAGTTTTCTTTCCAATTCCTTACTCCGGGCGTCTGCGTTCTGACCCGGAGTTTTCCGGCGCCACCGCTCCGGTTTGGTGGCGTTCAGTGTCGTTTTCGTGTTTATCGCATCGATAACTCATCGTTAAAATCACACTTTTTAATTTCCAAATCGTGCAAATGTGTAAATCAGTATGTAAAGTGCTTTAATATGTCACTAGTGCGTTAACAGAGTCATTTCCGCCTTACTACCCCTCGCTTACCTCTATTGATCCGTTTTGGATGGGCAAGATCAGATTTGGTTACGTCGGTATGAGCCGACTTTGAGACGATTTTATCGAATTATCGACACGTTTTCCAGTTGGAAAATGAGAGCGAATGACGAGGGCAACCTGGATGAGGACCTCTACACCCTCTGGAGATGAAATTCAGTTTGGTAATGGTCATTTTGTATTTACTGTGGCCCATAGAAGGCCAGCGATTGGTGCCGCCGAGGAGTTATCATTCGGATGACGATGACGATGACGAGATTCGTCATGCTCTTAATGACGATGAGGAGGGTGAGAATAATTCAACAGGTAATTTTGACAATGTGACAAAAGGTCAATAACCGGTGACACAGTTGCAAGAATTAATTAAAGCGCTAATTAGAGTGTTGGAACAATGATGAGATGACGTGAGATCAATCCATTTTTCCTGTTGTTTACGTGACTGATGGTGGAATTAATTTCCAACAATGTGTTATGTTGGAAAAGTTTCAAAGTTGCGAGATAAACACATTTTTTGGTTGCTTTAGGTAAAAAGTCGGGCAAAAGAAAAACAACTGATTTTCATAAATTTTCTGTTTGCTTGTTATTTTCCTCCTTTCCAATTTTCTACACTTACATTGTTTTCCTCTTGTTTATTATTATTTTCTTTTAATTAAAACAATCATTCAGTTTAATGAGATTTTTTTCTCACATAATTTTATTTTTTTTACTTTTTTATATTCTCATATTTCTTTCTCAAACTCCAGATAGTGTGAGGTCTAAAAGAGAGCGAACGGCAAAGCCGCGATCCCCCTATAATTATTACTTTCAACACAACATTTTCGAATCCGATAGAATTTCAGTTTATCATTTATTTCGTATCTGTTATTTCCTTTTTATTTATTTTCTTTCCTAGTGTCTCATATTGTTCAAATCTCTTAATTCATACTTCACTTTACTCTTTCTTTTTTATTACAAACTACTTCCTTTTTTAATTTTTTGTTTTCCAGGTTTTCGTATTTTTCAAAAATGTCACCTATATATTTTAATTATCTTAATATTTTGTACATACAGGGTGCTCCAGAACACGCGCCCCAGAGAAAAGTGCCATCTAAGGTAAAATACCATGAACATGGAAAAAATGTTAAAAAAAAATTATCTATAAAAATTTCGAAGTTATCAGGGTTTAAAGTTTGCACTTTGACTCTGTTTATTTCTGTTGAAAATATAATTTTCCAAGTTTTTTGCTATAGGCTATTAAAAGAGGAAACAAGGAAGCTGTATCCTAAATTGTAACTCTGTTCAATGTCATTTGTGGCTTTTATTGGCAAATTTTTTGTCGCTTTACTAAATAATTGTAAAAAAAACATATACTAGATCATCAGTATCTTTAAATAGATATAAAAAAATGTCAAATGTCAAAAAATATATGTCAAAATTTTTTGACAGATAGAATTTTTTAAACATTTTTTTCATGTTCCTGGTATCTTACGTTACTTGAAAATTTTCTCTGGGGCGCGAGTTCTGGCGCACCCTGTATACAACATTAAAAATTCAATTCTTGTCACAAGTTTCTTAAAAATAAATTGTGTTGCATACTTTTACCTTCTTTCTATGTCTGTTTAATGTATACTTTTTCGTAGAATTTCTTTTTTAATCTATTTTTTCTCTTTTATTTCAAGTTTTTAAAGATCTTTAAATCTTGTTTCAATAATTGTATAAAACCAATCATTTTGCACAATTTTGTTTTTAATTTTAATTTTGCATTTTGTGCTGATTTTTAATGCCTTTCTTCTTTTTTATAATTTCACAGCTTTACCTATTTGTATGTGACATTTAAGTTAATTAATATTTTATCATATGTGTGTATATGTTGAGTGACATAAGATATGTAACGTCTTATATGACCTTCTGTTTTTCTTTCTTTTTTTTCCCAATAACTTTTTTGTGTCTTTTCCTCCTATCGTTTAATAATTTTGACGATATTTGCATCTTTCTATAGTTAACTCTATTTCTGAAGTATTAGTAAACACTTTCCTTTTTCGTTTCCTCTTTATCTTCCTTTTTCTTTCTAGTTTATTCACCTCATTAGAATTTATTGTTTTATATATATTTTTTTAAATTGCTTAATGTTTAAATAACATTTTATTCTCATTTAGCACCTATTTTCCTCAAACTTCTTTTTTGTTTTATTTTGTTTCTCTTTTTTTGTTATTTAGTGTTTTACATTGTTCAAAATATCTATTAATTCATACCTCACTTTTACCTTTTTTTATTTCAATCCACTTTTTCATTATTTGTTTCCCAGGGGTTCGTATTCATGTTTTTGTCATTATTTTTCAACTCTATTTTTAATACTCTTTGTACTTATTATACATATACAACATTAAAAATTCAGCATTCTTTAGATTAATTTTGAATTTTTTCTCTTCTTATTCTTCTGACACAAGTTTCTTTACTTTTTTTTACGTAATATTAATCATATTATTACAAAATTCTTTTCTATTTGTTTCCATTCCTAGAAATATTCTCTATATTTTTTTGAGTTTCTTTCTCCTATTTTTTTCTTCTGAATTTTTTCTTTTATTTGTTTTTTATTTCAAAATTTTTAAATCCTGTTCCAATAAGAAAACCAATCATTTTCAACAAATTTATGTTTTTTTTTATACCTTTTTGAGTTTTCAATGCATTTTTAGTAATTCTCCAATTAGAAAATTTCTCAGTTACTTCTTCTGATTCTCTTCCTCCTATTGTTTATAAATCTTGACGAAATATAATAGTTCTATTTTTCGTCTTTTTTCTTAAAATTTTTTATTTTCTCTTTTCTTCACCAGCTAACTTTTTTATGTTTTTACTTATTTCAGTAAAAATTATTATAATTGTTTAATTTTATTTAAGTTAGACAGTAGACTTTCTTCTCACTTAATTTAATTGTTATACATACTTTCATCTTCGTTTTATATCTGCTTAGTTTTCTTATTTCTTTTTCTCTTCTATACTATTCTTTTTATTTTTTTCCTCTTACAATATATTTACAAATAAACAAAAAATTGTTTAATAAGCATGATACAGGGTGTCAGAATTCGCGTCCCAGAGAAAATTTTCAAGTAAGATAAGATACAAGAAACATATAAAAATTCTATCTGTGAAAAAATTTTGACATTTATTTTTTCACATTTGACATTTTTTATGTGATTTTAATGATACTGATGATCTTGTATATGTTTTTTTATAATTATTTAGTAAAAATACGAAAATTTTGCCAATAAAAACCACAAATAACATTCAATTTAGAATAAAGTTTCCTTGTTTTATTTAATTTAAACTCTCGTAACTTCGAAATTTTTGTAGATAGAATATTTTTAACATTTTTTCTATGTTCTGGTATCTTACCTGGCACGGCATTTTTCTCTGAGGCGCGAGTTTTGGCGCACCCTGTATAAGATATACTAGAAAACACAAAAATGCATTGAAAGACTAAAAATAGTAAAAACGACGTCATTCCTAGCGTTTGATCTTTAAATGTCATTTCCAAGACTACCAACCTAATAAAAAGCGCAATTTCAGCCTTCATACGCACACTTCTCTAAAACCAAATCTCAAAAATAATTAAATTCGTGCAAAATCGCTCGATTTCAAACGATAATTACCCTTTGAACATTTGCTACATTTTACGCTCTAATAATTCCACAAATCACAGTCGACTTAGCTAAAACAAAAAACACAAAAATCAACCAATATAGCGTCCCAAATATCTCTTCTCATAATAATTAATGGCATTTCAATTGTCTCTTCTAGACAAAGGACTCTATGTGGGAGCTCCATGTGAAATCGTATGCAACTCGAAACTACTCCACGTCTATTGCAACCCCATCACAGGGGTGTGCGAATGCGAGAAGAACTACCCCGTCAAGCTCAACCCTTACACAGGGTGTGGAAAACGTAAGCGAAATTGCATATAAAAAAAATTTCACCCGAATTGCACACCAATTTTTTTTGTTTTCAGCGAAAAGGTTGGGTGACCAGTGTTACTACCGAGAGACCTGTCAATACACCGATGTCCATTCGGCCTGCATACAGGTCCACCATAACGCCATTTGCCAATGCCAAAATGGCTACCATTCCGTTTCTATTCAAAAAGGGTCGAAAAGGGTCTTCTGTGCCGAAGGTGATAGAGCACAATTTTTGCAAAAATTTCACAATTAAAAGCAAATTTTAGATCTGGAGGTTATGACAACGGATTTCTCGACTTTTGCCGGAGTTTTATCCGGAATTGCGATTTTATCCGGATTAATTTGCTTCGTGTTGCATTTGTTTAACCAAAATATGTATGGACCAAGACGGCACCGTTTTGGTAATGCTAATTTGGCGCCCCCTATTTTATATTCAAGCGATCCAGGTGAGCATACTGTATTTTTTCTACTATGGAAGACTGGTAAACAGACCAAATTTTTGCATAAATATAAATTGTCTTAAGAAAAAAACAGTGTTTTATCCAATATAATTTCTGTCCATCTTTATGCAAATTTAATTCGTCCGTATGCTGCAATTCCTGCAATAAAACACTAAACTTGCGCACGAATTCTCAATTAACTTCTCTCCAAGCACAACACCGTGGCAAAAATCCATTTTTCTCGTATTACGTTCGAGTATTGATTCGGGGCTTGAAATTTTTCGAATTGGAATAAATTTGACACCACTTTAATTTTGTTATGATGATAGAAAGGTCGCAGAATGCGAACAGCGAACTCGGTTAATTAAAGGAATTTCGACCTAAAATAGAAATAATATCGCTTTGGTTAACCCAAGTTTTAATTAAAAGCTGTTGTTTGATAGTTTCGGGTTCGTTTACCAGTTGTGTTATGCTCTATTTTTGGTGTTGCTCACTTCTATTCTATGTATGAATGAAACAACTTTTAGAAAAATTATTTTCAAAAACTTGTAGCTTGGATATTGAAACTTGTGACGAAATATCCGATAACTGTGACCTCTGTGAGCACTTTTGAATTGTATTATGTCTAAGTGGGCGCTGGTTTGTGGTTGTGCTTTAGAGGTGGGTTTACTATAAAAGCCGCTTTAATATGTTTTTCAATCAAAAAAACTTTTTTCCTCTTTAGATCTAATCTAAATTTCTTTTCTTTTTAGTTTGTTTGCCTTTGTTTCAAACTTATTTATTTTACTTTCTATAAGTATATTGATTTTTTTCTTTCTTTCGAATATCTGTTTTTTTTTCTTTCTTATATTTTCTATTTTTTTGTTCCTGTTCAAACAATTTTGGCAATATTTCTAATTTGTTATATAATGAGTGACATAAAAAAAATCAACCCCTTGGATGCTGAACCGATTCTTAAACATTTTTTCTCTTTCTCACTTTAAATACTTTTCCCCTCTGTAGTTTATTTTTCATTCTTAATTTATTTTAAATATTACGTTTATTGTTCTGACGTTTTTTTTTTAATTCTTTTATCTTTAATTCCCCTTTTTACAATTTTCTTTTCTATTTTTAAACTTTTGTGCCAATGGTTGTTCTAAATTATTACATAATTTCTCTTCCTCATACTCCTTCCAGATTTTTTTAATTATTTCGTCTCTATTTCCAATATATCCCCTTTTCATTTTTTTATATTTCCTGTTAGTCTTTTCTTTCTTTATACAGTTTTGGATAATTAATTCAATAATTAACATTAACACTTAGATAATGGCCCATTTCATACATTTTTTTAAATTCTTTTCATTCTCCTCAATATTTTTTTCTCCAAATGTATGGTCTTTTTCATTTTTAGTTACTCTATTCTTTTTATTATTTTTCCTTTTTATCCTGTAATTTACAAAACTTTGTCTCAATGATAATTTTAAATTATCACATAATTTTCTTCCTTACTTCCTTTGTTATTCCCAGTACCTATTCTTTTTGTCATTTGTCAAATGTTTATGTTTTTTCGAAATTTTTCAATCTTCTCCATTTCTTTTCAAATAGTTTTGCATAATAAACACATACTCGTTATTTGTTATAACTATACATAAAAAAGTGAACTCTTCAAATGTTTTTTTTTCATTATCATTATTTTTCTTCTTCGTATTCTCTTTTAGAAACAATTTTTTAGAGACATTTTTTTCTTATCTCTGATCTTTTTTAAGTCTTCTTTCTTTTTTGTATCCTTCAATTTTTCAACTCATTACAAGTTGTTTTCTTAATCATTTTTTACTTTCTTATTAAACTTATTATTTTCCTTATTAAGTTTTGTTCAATTTTTAGTCTTAATTTCTCAATTTTTGCTGTTAATGTCATTTCCTGTGCGTTTGCTTCTATAGTAAGCCGCCTCCAACTCGCCCCTTGTTTTATGCTCGCTTCAACCGTTCGCGCGCCTACTGTTCCAGGATCCTTACCGATGCCTATCATCGATCGCAGCTTGACGTCCCGGACGTCGAGTCGCCGGACAATAGCATCGTTGCCGTCGCGGCGGGCCAGCAGTGCCCAGGGTTGCCGCGGAATAGCCGTTTCCGCCTCCCGTGCAGGTGCGGCCCGCAACGCCGCCATCTTGCTACTCTCTTCTTATCAATCCGATCCCTACCAACCACCAATTTACGAATACAAATTCGGTATAATTTGCACCCTTTTACATCTAATTATCTGTCTTTGTAACTCTGTAACAAAACACCAGTCAAGTGTTAAGACACTCGCGCTTCGTTCGCTCGTGCTACTAAATCAACGACTCGACTGTTCTAGGTATCACAGTTCTCTCCAAATAACCTAAGTATTGTCCCTATGTGTACACCAGTGTTGTCACTCCACAAAACTAACTCATCGTAATTCCAGAGAACGCAAGATGGCAGTGTTTCAAATCGGCTTCAATTTTTCTTTTACTGAAATTTTTTCTTCAACACACACACAGCACACTGCATGTATGTATTTGTTTTCCAAGCATGAGTGTTTCAAATGGGATTTTTCAGTTTTTTGCACTTGCACAAGTCCCAATGAAAAATGCCATTACAAAATGCATGTCTGTGTTTTTCATCGATTTCTTTAGTAATTTTCCGCTTTTCTAAGGCTCTCGCAGACCAAGTTTGACTTCGATTCATAGTGGAAATTCCATCAAGAGTTACAGTCAACGAAGATACGAGCGGGAGCGGGAATTGAAGGAAGAAAGGGAAATGCAAAGGCGATTAGCACGGATGTCTTCTTCGGCTAACTCGAGCGGGAGAATTGCCCCAACTCCTAGCCCCCATTCGACCGATGACCTCCTCCCGACTCTAGAAGAGGACAAACAGGTGACCATTTTTTCTCAAACTAAAATCGGTGTTTTCAATGTTGTGTTTTTCTAGAAGGAATCGTCATGGATTGCGATTGTAAGTCCCAAATGTGCATTCCAATCACTGGCTGTTTTTCTGCTTTGTTTTTTCACTCTCTAAATTAATTACAGGGTGCTGTAATTTCATATTTTCCGCTTCAATTATCTCCGTTTTTGTCCAATTCTAACTCATTTTTTCCATTTTTAGGTTCCTCCTCTCGCTATACAAGAAGAATCGTCGTCTAGTTTCCACGAAGAAATACCATCGACTTCGAAACAATTCCCTTAAAACTCAGCGAAGTACCAAAACTCCAAGTCGCCATGGCCTATTTTGCATTAATTTGCGTTGTGGTTATATGTAATGTGCTACAAGTATAGAAACGTGGCGGACTATGTGCATTATATGTTACGAAATTATGAATTTTTAACATTAAAACGTTAAAATAGAATGATAGGATAATAAACGTTGTTGTAAAAACGTGTATCATTTAAGGAATGGACCAAAGGTTTGTTAACAACACTCCTCTGGGATTCAAAACAAATTTATTGAAAAAAACTGGACAAAAACTTTGGTGTAATACTGTAAAAAAAACTGGAATGAAGCATCGATTTAGTCAACCTCTTCGATGGTGGGCCCGGCACCGCCAGCTCCTGGTGCAGCTCCTGGAGCAGCACCTCCAGCTCCTGGAAAACCGGGCATCCCACCTGGGGCACCTCCAGCACCTTGGTACATCTTCGCAATAATGGGATTACACAAATTCTCCAACTCCTTCTGCTTATGTTCGTACTCCTCCTTCTCGGCCAATTGATTAGCGTCCAACCAGGCGATGACTTCATTGCATTTATCCATGACACTCTGCCTCTCCGAATCACTAATCTTATCCTTGACCTTCTCATCTTCCATAGTACTCTTGATGTTGAAACAGTACGACTCAAGCCCGTTCTTTGCCGCAATCGTACTCTTCTGTTTCTCATCTTCGTTGCGGTACTTCTCAGCTTCGTTGACCATCCTCTCAATGTCTTCCTTACTCAAACGTCCCTTATCGTTAGTAATAGTGATTTTGTTTTCCTTGTTGGTACTCTTCTCAATTGCTGTGACATTCAAAATACCGTTAGCGTCGATATCGAAGGTGACTTCAATCTGGGGAACACCGCGTGGAGCTGGTGGAATTCCAGTCAATTCGAATTTACCCAAAAGATTGTTATCTTTAGTCATAGCTCTTTCACCCTCATACACCTGGATCAACACTCCAGGTTGATTATCGGAATAAGTGGTGAAAGTTTGGGTCTGTTTGGTTGGTATCGTGGTGTTACGTTTAATCAAAGCTGTCATAACACCACCAGCTGTTTCAATACCCAAAGACAGTGGAGTAACATCCAAAAGTAGCAAATCTTGAACCTCTTCCGACTTGTCACCATGCAAAATGGCAGCTTGGACAGCAGCTCCATACGCAACAGCTTCATCAGGATTAATCGATTTGTTCAATTCTTTACCATTGAAAAAGTCTTGAAGGAGTTTTTGTACTTTAGGAATACGTGTGGATCCTCCTACCAAGACAATATCATGAATTTGACTCTTATCCATTTTGGCATCTCTGATTGACTTCTCCACTGGTTCCATAGTAGAACGGAACAAGTCAGCATTGAGTTCCTCAAAACGGGCACGGGTGATCGAAGTATAGAAATCGATACCTTCGAATAACGAATCGATTTCGATACTAGCTTGAGTCGATGAAGAAAGTGTACGTTTTGCTCTTTCGCATGATGTCCTCAAACGACGTAACGCACGCTTATTCGACGTCAAATCCTTCTTGTACTTTCTCTTGAATTCTTGTACAAAATGATTGACCATACGATTATCGAAATCTTCACCTCCTAAATGCGTATCACCAGCTGTTGACTTGACTTCGAAAATACCATCTTCAATGGTCAAAATGGATACATCAAAAGTACCACCGCCCAAATCAAAGATCAAGACGTTTCTTTCACCTTGACCTTTCTTATCTAAACCATAGGCAATAGCAGCGGCCGTTGGTTCATTAATAATACGCAAAACTTGCAAACCGGAAATGGTACCGGCATCTTTAGTAGCTTGTCTTTGTGAATCGTTGAAATAAGCCGGTACGGTTATAACCGCATTTGTAACCGACTTTCCCAAGTAGGCTTCAGCCGTTTCCTTCATTTTCGTTAGGACCATTGAACTGATTTCTTCAGGATAGAAAGTTTTTGATTCGCCTTTATATTCGACTTTAATTTTCGGTTTACCGCCGTCGTTGAGCACATCAAAAGGCCAATGTTTCATGTCGGCTTGAATGGCGGGATCGTCGAATCGACGCCCAATAAGACGTTTGGCATCTGGAACAAAGCAAAAACTCTATTAAAAAAAATCATACACAAAACTAAATATTTGAAAAAGAGAAAACTTCAGACGATTAAATAATCATAAAAGTAGCTCATAAACTCCAGTCTGGCATGACTCTAAATCTCATCATTGTGGGGGCGAGGCGGCCATGAAATTGCAGTAGAGTAAAAAAAATATAATACTAACAAAAACTGCAAAAATTAAACTCTAATTCTGTAAAAATGTAATTTATAAAAACAAATATATTTTTATCAAAATTGTTAATTACCACAAATTCATTGAAAAATCAAACATGACTTATTTTGTCTTGTTTTTGAGTTATGCGATTCTTTTTTGTTAAATTGCAATTAAAAAAGTTTTCTAAAAAAAAAAAAATATGTATAAAGTAGATAGTTGTAATCCTTAGATCATAACCTTCATGAGAWAAATGGTTTTTAATTTTGAAAAATTTTATTTTTGATAAAACATCACATTTTTATATAACTTTATAACTCATCAATTAGTTCTTCCCCCAAAAAAAATAAATTAAGCCAAAAACGTTTGATTCCATACTTTTCTTTTTTTATTCACCTGGTTCACAAAAATAAACATTTTTTTTTTCAAAATAATACATAAAATAAACCAACAAAATTATTGTATGACAAAACATCGGAAAAAACTTTTAGTTGGCAAAGAATCAAATTTTTAAAAATTCGTTCAAGTGTTCAAAAAAAATTAAAAGCGAGTTTTTAACCCTAAAATTACCTAAAAATTTTATTTAACCGAGTACACTAATCTATAATGTGATAAACTGAGAAAATCCTCGACTTTTCAAATCATCAATTTTATAGAATATTTTTTCAAAGTACATATTACATAAAACCAATTTTTTTAAACCGTTCAATTGTCTAAAAAAAGATTTAATTTTTTGCATGAGCCTAAAATTTAATTTAATTTTTGTATGTAAAAAATATTTGACAAAGCTAGAATGTTTTAAAAAAATTATCTAGTTGTAAAATTTACGAATACCTCCTGTATAAAATCAACTTCTTAAAATTCGTTCAAAAATTCCTTTTTTACAACATAAAAAATTGCGTAATTATATTTCACCGAGCACACTGATATTAAATGCTTTAAAAATCCACTAGTCCGAAAATTCAAAACTGCACCCTGTATAACGCAAAAAAAATGGAACAGTGAGTAAGTAGTTGCTTTTGACGCCATCTATGGGTGCGCCGCGCGCGTCGTTTCAGAACCCTGCAATACCGGTTTGATTTCCGGAAGCCGCTCAAGGACGCGCCAATTTTCCCTTATAAAGACACTTCTGGGACTTAAAACTCACCAAAAATTGTGTTATTGGGGTTCATGGCGACCTGGTTCTTGGCGGCGTCTCCAATGAGGCGCTCGGTGTCGGTGAAGGCGACATAAGAAGGTGTGGTCCTGTTGCCTTGATCGTTGGCGATGATTTCCACTTTTCCATGCTGGAAAACTCCCACACACGAGTAGGTGGTTCCCAAATCGATACCAACAGCGGGTGCTTTAGCCATCTGCAAAAAACAATGATATTTCCGAGTTAAAATCACGTGTTGAAATTTCTTGTCAAAAATGCGATTTTCCCGAAATTTGAAACAAATTATGACTACTAGTGGCTAGATTGGCACTTACTTTGAGTTTTTCTTGAGTTTTTGAGGAAAATTAGACGATTTTTAGATGTGTTTTCGGCTTCAGCAACGGAAATGGAATCAGGAGGAATGACAAAATGGCCGGCTTTTAAGCAGGGTCGATGATGCTTCTAGAAAATTCCACCACTCGACCAATCAGAACGCACGATTCAAGGCGGTACTCGATTCTGATTGGTCGAGAGTTTCCATCTAGAACCTTCCGGTAAAACTCATTCTTATCGATTTTTCATAAAAAAGTACAAAATGACTCGCAAATTTTTCGATCAAACGCTAATTATACGATTTTCCCCAACATTTCATTCAAGAGTCACACCCGAATTTTCCACACTTTGGGGGTAGTAAAAGCAGCGCCATTTGGGGTGAAATTTGGCGCGAAAATTGAATTTTGGACCACAAAAACCCATTTCCCGTTTGAATATCTTTAATTTTCTTAAAGGAAAACTGTTCCTGGCCTGAGGACACATCATTCTGAATCACTCATTAACATTGAACAGATGTCAATGATTTTTTAAGGTCAGGCTGAACACGTGGTCGGAGTCAAGGTTATGTTGCCCTCCACAAAATTCATTTTTACGTAAAATTGTTCTTCATTTCATAATTTATTCCATAAATGAAAAAATTATTTTAATAAAATGCGAATTACGTCCCAGTGACGTATTAATTCGAAAAATTCGTTGACTCATCGAGTAACCTATGAGTCCTATGACCAGCTCTAATTAATCAATTTCAGTAATTTCGCAATTTAATTAGTGATATCAGATTTCTCTGTAATCTCAATCTAGTTTCGATTTCAGTCCAATGTGAAGGTTCAAGGTCAAATAAAACACTCTTTTAGCCCCACCTTTTATTCACCAACCAATCAGATCGTTGAAAAGTACGTCTGGTAGACAAGCCCCACCGACGTGGTTGCAAAATAGACAAAACAACACCACCAAGTGGAAAATCCGAAAATTCCCCGAAAAACTTCAGCGGAAAACACCGATTTCAGATTTTCGAAAGTTGCATGAAACTCGGCCGCTGATTGGGCGATCGAGTCACGTGAACTTGTCTCGAACGGGTCTATCGTTTTTGGGGGGTTTACCACGGGGCATTCATTAACTGGTTCCTTGAACAAAGCACCCCAACTAAATTCCCCTAGAGTTTTGTACATGAAGGAGAGAATCAGGCACATGATTATGGGAGTGATATATTGCAGGGTTACCACACACAAGTAGTAAAAAACGGCAGCGATCTGTAATTAAGTGTGAGTAATTACTAATTAATTTATTATTGTAATTACTTTTTTTTGAAATTCAATATTTGTGATTCGGCCCGCCTCCTTCTTTTGTTCTTGGGTCCGATTGTATGCCATGTCTAAGTAGGCTTGTAAATACCACGGCATTAGTACCAACTTGACGAAAACTGTTAAAACTATGGCCACAATACGGAGTGTCTCAAATGCGTGTGTTGTTAATCTATAATTAATAAAATTGTGATTAATTAACAGTGACAAATTAATTAATTACAGAGGTTGGGTCATTCCTGAAAAAATTCGAACAGTGATATAAGTCCTAGCCACCGGTTTTATCCAAAAAATCACCAAAACAAACGGTAGAGCAAAACTGACATTTAACATGATTTGAATCAGTTTCCTCTCTCTGAAATATCTGAAAAAAAAAACAATTATTTCCCAATTAAATTAATAAATTAATTACTTGAGTAAATCCCAGTGCATTTTCGCTATCCTCAACCCCGGAAAGGTGAACAAAGCCCCCAGAATGCCGCACCACAACGCTATGAAAAATTTCAGCACGATTTTGGACGCTGGACCTCTGAAAAAATCACTCAAAACTGAAAAAATCACCCAAATTCAATTCTTACGACGAATTTAAGCCTTGTTTGCTCAAAAAAACCGACGCACTTTTATTAAAACTGTTATAAGCGTCTTCCAAACCCAATTCGAGAGTATTTTCGTCGACGATTAAGACCATCATTGAGATTAATAAATAGGTGAATCCCATGACAATGCATGTCGAGCGTTCACCGACTGATTCTTCGCCTTTGAAATACTGAACTGTGAGAGATAAGAGGAGTTTTCTGGGTTTTGTTGAGGAAAATTGACTAAAAACAGTAGGCAGTGGATGTAATGACATTTGTTCATAGCCAACTTAAAATTCGGGTAGAAAATTTCACGAAAATTTAGTTTAGTGACGACATAAGAAAAAACCATTGCTGGGCCACTCTGTACATTAAAACTCGCTTCTCTTTAGAAAAAATATTATTTAGGTCAAGAAAAATACAAATTCAATGCAAATGACAGGTGACATTGATTCACAGCCAACTCGCCATTTCAATTTTTTAAGATAAATAGCAAAATTATTAAAAAAAAAATTACAATCAATGACAGGTAAATCACAGCCAACGTAATTACTTTTTATGTAAAATAATCATTCAAACGTTAGTATTTCTTGATAAAAAAGTATATAAAATATTGTACAAGCGCTTTTCGAATAAAAAGTACAAAAAAAAAATTTTTTTGTCGAAATTAATTAACTTCATAACAATAAGAAATGACATTAAATCATAGCTAACTTGTGGAACTTGGGTGTTATATTATAAAAAAGTGTAAAATATCGACAATGTATTTAAAAAAACAGTTTCTCCGACTTGCAAAATCTAAATTTTAGGCAAAAAATCTCTAAATAACATTTGACATTTGTCCACAGCCAACTTTAAAATTCGAGTGGAAAACTTCACGAGGACAACCTGTACAGTGATTAAATAATAAAAAATCGTTGTTAGACTACTCTGTATGTGTGATAACAATAACAATAATTCACATACGTTTTTAAAACTCGCATTTCTTCAGAAAAATTATTATTTAGGTCAAGAAAAATACAAATTTGACGCACATGACAGGTGGCATCACAGCCAACTCACCTTTTTAATTTTTTAAGTAAAAAAGCAAATTTTGTTCAATTATTAAAGTTATTTCCAAATTTACAAATGGTATCATTTTTAGGCTGTAATCCTTTGTAAATGTCAAAAAAAATCAATATTTTGGTAAAAAATAACAATTAATGTCACAATGGCAAGTGACATTGAATCACAGCCAACTTAATTTCTTTATTTTATGTGAAAAATAGTTCAAAAATCCGACTTTTTTATTAATTTTTAACAAGCCTCATCCAACCACTATTTTCCTAAAATAAGCGTTTTTTTCAAAAAGTACAAAAAACAATTTTATGTCAAAAACTTGCGAAATTAAAATTTCGGTCAAAAAACTCTAAAAATGACATTTGACATTTGTTCTTAGCCACCCTGATTCTTGTATTAAAGGATACATTGAGAACAGGAGCACCAACCCACACCACATCATGCTCAAATTGACCTCATCCTTGAGCGGAAACCACGTCTGGTACACCTGCAACCTCTCACAATGAAAAATCCCAACTCGATAGCCCCCTACCTCCGTCACAACATAAACAATAACAGCATAGACAGTAAAATCAAGCAGCCATTGATACTCTGAGTAATATCTCAAATGGATAACATCCAGTCTTGTCACTTTGGCTGTCTCCAAAGACACGTCGAGACTCCTCGGCACATGAAAAGTCTCAGCTTTGCCATTGCTCTGCTTGGGGCCCTTCTTACCCCTCGGGATGCTCGCCAGGTGTCTCAGCTCGGCGTCAGTGGGGTACAAGTAGCGGACCAGACCCGTGGAGCACAAAAGCCACCTCGCGAAGGAGAAATGTGGGCCCAATTTCTGGATCACACTGATCATAACGAGGGTTATGACCAATTGGGCGCCGAGGAGGGCCTGAAACACGCATTGGGGGACACCAAGGGGGCTGTTTGACACTCACCATAGTCGCAGCAGGCTCTGGTGCGAAACGTGACTAGACCATTGTTTTTATTAATAGAAATAGCTGACCTAACCTATAAATGGGCGTATTTTTAGACCGTTTTTACATAAGATTTGACTTAAACCGACGAGACTTGAGCGAAATCCGGGGGCGAGTCACATTTTACGTCAATTTGACCCGAATTTGGCTCATTTCAGTCACGCACACTGAACCCCGAATTGAACTAAATTAGCGTAAATTAACTTGTAATTAATTGGAATTAGTGGATTCGCCCCACTTGATTTGCCCACATGTGACTCTTACTCGGGTTTAAGCCGCGCTTGGTCTTATCAAGTTTGAGGTTAGGTTTCCAAAATGAGTCTCAAAGCTATTAAATACGAAAATAACACTTTGGAAATATTGGATCAGCTCCTTTTACCTGCACAATCGAAATATATTCAGGTTCGGGGGGTCGAGGATGGCTGGAGAGTCATTAATAAGATGCAAGTGAGTTTTGAGGTTATGTTATACAGGGTGTTGCATTGGGGTTGTAGGTGAGAGGGGCTCCCGCGATCGCAATTGTGGGATGCTTAAGCCTTGCCGTAGAGCTACAGGGGGAGAATTTCGAGTCGAAAAAACAACTAAGACAAGACATCGAAGGGAAATTAAATTTTTTGGTTTCCTCGCGCCCCACGGCGGTCAACATGAAAATAGCCGCCGAGGAACTCATCACTCTTTCTAACAAACTCGCCGAGGATGACTCAATCGAACTTGAGGCAATGAAATCGAGGTGATTTTTTTCTATAAATTTTTTTTTATTAATTTTTATCAGGTTTTTGAGGACTATTGAGGCAATGTTAGAGAAGGACATCCACGATAACAAGTCGATTGGTGAATTGGGGGCACGCGAGATCCTTTTGGGCGCCTCGGGGGATTCCCAGGTGCGGGTTTTAACCCATTGCAACACTGGCTCCTTAGCCACCGCCGGTTACGGTACTGCGTTGGGGGTGATCCGAAAACTGCACGAATTGAAGCGTTTGGAGCACTGTTATTGCACCGAGACACGCCCCTATAACCAGGGGGCGCGACTCACGGCCTACGAATTGGTCCACGATAAAATCCCCGCAACTTTGATTGTAGACAATATGGTGGCAGCCCTGATGAAACATCGGAACATTTCGGCTGTGGTCGTAGGAGCCGATCGGGTAAATGTCACGTGAGTTTGGTTCAATTTAGGGATTTTTGTGTATAGGTGGCGTCCAATGGCGACACTGCTAACAAAATCGGGACTTACCAAATCGCCGTTTTGGCCAAATTCCACGGTGTGCCCTTCTACGTCGCAGCCCCGTTTACGTCAATTGATATGAAAATCGTGAGTGGGGACCATATTGTTATCGAGGAACGGCCCGATCATGAAATGACACATGTGGGGGAGCACAGGATTGCCGCCAAAGGTTGCCAACTGTCTTTTTTTTTTTCTAGTGATAAAGGTTTTTTTTAGGGATTTCGTGCTGGAATCCCGCTTTTGACGTGACTCCGGCCTCACTCATCGCTGGGATTATCACCGAAAAGGGGGTCTTCCGTCCGCAAGAGCTTGTTAATCAGTTTGGACAAGGCACTTGATGCAATCTAGTGCATTTTTTGTTAAAAGTGATATGTTGGTAGTAATGATTAGATATGTAACGTCAAAGTGATATTTTTATATTATTTTTCGGAACTGCACACGTTTGTATTTCGTCATTGTGCCATGCCAAATTTTTTAAATAAAAATTGCTTATTCCAATTACCCACTCTGTAAATAGTTCCAATGTCCGATTGCCCAATTCCACAAGTAGGCTACAACGTCAGTAGTTCATTTCACCATCTACAAAATAACCTAGACATGGAAAACTGCAATTTAAAGCCCAATTTTAACATTAAAGATATGTGCCGAGTTTGTATGAACACAATACAAGACGAAGTTTTGTCAGTTTTTGACAAAAATGACATTGCTACTAAAATAATGTCATTTTCATCCGTCAAAGTAAAACCGCCGCCTTGATTTTACAATGATTGAATTTTTTCATTTTAGATCGACATTGGGGACGGTTTACCCCACTTTTTGTGCCCCAAGTGTCACGAAAATGTCGAAAATGCCTACAATTTGAAACTACAGTGTGAAAACTCTGATCGAATTTTACGCAATTATTTAAGTCAAATTAAAAATAGAAAACGTACTAGGCCGAAATCCGGAGAGCGCGAAACTACCACTTGTACCATTTGCAACAAAACGTACCATAACGCCGCGAATTTGACCCTCCATATGGGCACCCATACGGGCGTGAAGCCTTTCGAGTGTACCATTTGTTCGAAGCGTTTTACTCAAGGCCGGGCTTTTGCCTGTCATATGCGCACCCATTCCGATAACGTCGACAAACCATATCAGTGTACACAGTGTCCCAAAAAATTTGTCCAAGAGTCACAATTGCGCACACATGTGAAAAAACACACAGGGGAATCCCATGTTTGTCCAACTTGTGGTAAAAAGTATAGCAATTCGGGGAATTTAAAGAGTCATATGAGGCTCCATACTGGGGATCGGCCATACGAGTGTCATATTTGTGGCCGGAAGTTTGCCCAGAGTAACACCCATTCGTACCATATGAGGACCCATTTGGGTGAAAAGGCCTTCACGTGTGATTTTTGCTCTAAAAGTTTCACCAGTGGTGGGCAATTGACCAATCATCGGAGGTGTCATACGGGGGAAAAACCGTATCATTGTACCATCTGTCCCAAGAAATTTACCCAAAAGTACGCCTGTAGTGTCCATATCATGACCCATATGGATAACAAGCAGTTTTTGTGTAACATTTGCGGCAAAAAATACGCCTATGGCAACCAACTCAACACCCATATGAAGACCCACAATGGTACCAAAACCCATCAAGACTATACTATGACTAACCCAATTTGTTTCAAGGCGAAACCCTCCAGTGTGACATTTGTGGTAAAGAATACTCAAACCGCGGCAATTTATCTGCCCATATGGGCACCCATACTGGCATAAAACCACACATTTGTACCATTTGCCATAAAGGTTTCTACGTGGCGAATAGACTGAACCGTCATATGAGGAGCCATACAGGCGACCGGCCATACGGTTGTACAGTATGTCCCAAAAAATTCGCAAGTTTGGACGTCTTGAAAGTACACAATCGAGTCCATACGGGGGAAAAACCGTTCAAGTGTGACTTGTGTACCAAAAGTTTTACCAGCAAGTCCCAATTGACCGGCCATACGAAGCACCATGAGCGAATTACAACATGATGAATTTACATAATTGCTAAAAAGTCTGTTTGTACAAATTTTATTGAATAAAATAGTCAGTATTAGGTCTGGTGTGTTTTTTAATTTTTGTGTGAAATATTTATCAAATTTTATTTGATTAATAAATGTTTCGCAGTTATGGGAATTCATTACACATAAAATTTATATCAAAGAATTTAATTTAAATCATTGTTAAAAAATCTGAATTTGTAAAAATTGTATTGAGCAAAAAAGTTAATATTAAAATTAATAATTTTTTTAATTTTGCATCAAATATTTAGTTTGATTAAATGTTTCGCACTATTCGGAATTCAAGGGTGCTGTCAAAAATGTCAAAATTGCCATGACAACTGTCATTCAAACATAAACAAATTTCTTTTTGAAAATAATCAAGTTTGGGGCCCCCACAATTGCAATAATGGTAATTTTTATTAATTTGGTTTGTTTGTGATTGAAAAATGGTTTTTCTAGGCATTGAACCTTGATGGTAAGCGTAAACTGGCCGAAGAGATGCAAAAACGCGATTACGACGACCAAATCGAACGAAACAAACTCCATTTGGCCGAAAAAAACAAATTTCGGAATTTGGAACGTTGCATGCACAACATACGACGTGAACGCGAGACGGCGGACAAAATTCTAGAGGGCAAACAACGAGAGGCTTTTTCAGAGAGAAAATTGGAAAAAACCGAGGCTTTGGCCCGAGAATTGGACAAAATCAAACGTAACGAACTGCGAGACTTGAAATTGAGGTTTTTTCGACGTTTTTGTTGAATAAAAAGTACGTTTTTGTTTCTTAGACAGAGTTTACGCGAGAATTGCCCCGAATTGAGGGAATTGGAGTCGAAATTGAGGACGGCTTACGTCAGCAAGGAATTGGCGACGCAGTTGGCCGAGAAAAATGCCAAAAAATTGGAGGATAAGGTAAGTCAACTGAAATTTCACCAGATCTGGGGTATTTCATACTACTCTAGGGAGTTTTTTTTTATAAAAAAATTATGCACTGTATTTTTAGCTATTAACAGCAAATTTGATCGTTTCGCCAAATTTTCTTAAAAACACAAAAAATACCAATTTGGTGAAAAATCATTATTTTTTATTATTTAATTTAATTTGATTTTTTTATAATTTTTTTATTTATTTAATTTTTAATTTATTTTTATTTAATGTATGTATGTATTTAATTTTTTACGAGATTTTTATATTTTGACAAAAAATCAAACCGAAAATTATGTTATTTTCTATTTCTCGAACCTTTTAGTACATTTTCAGCTAGAACTGTAATAATCTCGCAAAATTTTGTTAAAAACAAGTCAACAACAAAACTTTATAAAATAGGTCAACCATTGCGTTATTTTTGCTTTTTTCGAGTGTTTTAGCATAAAAAAAAAATAAAAAAATCGTAAAATTTTGTTAAAACAGAGTAAAAAAGTTACAAAATTACATCGAAATTAATACCATTTTGCACCTTATTTTGCTCGGTTTGCTTCGTTTTTGAGTCCGAGGCTTATTTATTTTCCAAAATTTCTTCCAAACACACCTAAAAATTACAAAAAAAATAGATTTTGTTGTGATTTTTTTTGTTTCATTTGATTTAGCAGGTTTAGGAGAAAAATAAGTCGAGAAACTACAAAATTTGACCGAAAATATTTTAAGCACGTTTTTAAACTGAAATCCTAGTTTTTTGCAAGATTTTGCCAAAATAAACTAAAAAATCAACAAATTAAATCAAAAATTTGCATTTGTAAAACGTTTCAGCACGTTTTCCAGGTAGAAACGCAATTATTTCGTAAATCTTGATTAAATTTTTTTTTCAAGTAAATATGCCAAAAATGATGATTTTTGCTGGTTTAAGCACGTTTTCGGGATAAAACAAAGCTTCTCATATTTTTCACGAGTTTTTGTCAAAACAAACCAAAAAATCAACGAATTTAAGTCTAAAATTTTATTATTTTTGAATTTCTGGTGTATTTTAGCCCGTTTTCATATATGAAACGCAAGTATTATGCAGTTTTGTTAAGAACAAGTTTAAAAATTCAATAAAATGTTTAAAAATGGTGTTATTTTTGCTTTTTTGAGATTAAAAAAACAATTAAATAGATTAAAAAATTACAAAATTAAATCGAAACTGATGTTTTTTACCTTGTTTTGCTCATTTTTTAGCAAAGGCTCATTTATATTTTGTCCAAACACGTCCAAAAATCACAAAAAACATAGATTTTGATGTTATTTTGTATGTCTCGCTCAATTTAACTGATCTTTAAGCAAAATGAAGACAAAAATGAGCCGAGAAACAACCAAATTTAGTGAAAAATGATTTTAAGACGTTTTTATAATCAAATCTCAAGTTTTTCGCAAAATTTTGTTAAAAAAAAACAAAAAATCAACAAAGTAAGTCGAAAATTATAATATTTTTGCATTTCTAGAGCTAGAAACTCAATTATTTTGCAAAATTTTGTTAATAACAAAACGCAAAACCACAGAATTCGGCCAACAATTCTTAAGGTTTCAATTTCGTTTGAGCTGGCAACACTGTTATACAGGGTGTTTCATAACAAGACATTTCTTCTTAGTTGAGACAGCAGCAGGAATACAGGAAACTGCAAGAGTCCCTCGTGACCCTGGACGAGATGAATCAAGTCGCCGCTGAGGAAGAAATCAAGAAGAAAGCACAATACCGACAAGAATTACAAGACCAAATGATAATAAATGAAAAACGCCGAAGATACTTATATGACGAATTTCTTCGCGAGAAGAAGATGATCGATGATATCGTCCAACGGATTTACGCCGAAGATGAGCGCGAACGTCAAGAAAAAATGTGCAAAATGCAGAAGACTAAAGAAGAAATGGACGCGTTTAAAAAAGCCCAACAAATCTGGCGTAACAAAGAAAAGGAAGAAATCGATAAAGAGAATCAACGAATTCAGGAATTCATCACAAATAAAGCGCTCGAAATGCAGTCGAGGGAACAAAAGAAGAACGAATTGGAAGCAATTAAAGCGAAATTGACTGAAAATATAGCAAAACAGTTGTACGACGAAGAGGTTTGTATTTTTTTTTTGTATTACATTTTGCCGATTTTGGGGGTAAATGTCGTTATGAATGTATGGACGGCTTCACGAGTGGGGAGACATTGACCCAAAGCTTCCAACATCATGGGCTGGTTCAAAACTGTTGTTTTGTAATCGTTGTAGGAGATTTTGCCGTCGCGGTCGACGTCCATTTTTTTTGTTATCACCTCGATCATGTCCTAAAAGTATTAAAAAAATTAAAACACTTGGTATAATCGGTCATCGGGCCAACAACACCCTGTATTTCTTGCAGTTTAGATTTTTTACCATTTCTAGGTTTGTACACCCTGTATAATCGAAATTGTGCTGTATATTATTTTTGGGTGGTTTGAATTTTTTTTGTTTTTTTTTACTATTAAAAAACCTGCATTGCATCAGTTTTTTTTACAACATCCTGTTGAGTTTTAAGGTTGTCTTGTGTCAGTTTGGAAGATATTATTTATTTGTCTTAAGTAATTTTTGATTTTGGAACACTCAGTATACGCCAAAAAACTTAAAAAAATTTTTTTACTGTGTACTAGAATTAAATTTTAATGCACCCTGTACATAAATTATCTGAAAGATAGGTGGGTCAAAAAAAACTTTTTTTTTGTTTTCCAAAATCAAGTAAATACCGGTGTCTAGAAAAATTCAATATTTATTTGTCAATTTTCCTTTTTATTTGACTTAATAATGAAAAAAAACAATCGTTCTTTCATATACAGGGTGACAAAATTAAATTATTGTTTAGTTTTTTTTTTTGCTATGAACATTACGCCGACTCTATGTATCTTAAAAGAATACAGGGTGGCAAAAGATATTCAAATTTTTATTTGAAATAAATAGCTTTTAATATACACCCTGTATAATTTGCCATGTGTTTACCTTGTATTCGTCCGAAAAATTTGCTATAGCGAATGTTTAAAATTTGCTAAAAGTAAAATTTAATACACCCTGTATATTCATAGATTATCTGAAATATTATGAATGAGCCAAAAATTGTTTTTTTTATTCTTTCAGTAATTTCAGTAATTTTTTGTTAATTTTTCTTTTTATTTGACTTCAAAATAGGAAAAAAATAGCCGTGCTTAGATATACAGGGTGACAAAACGAAATTATTGCTTAGTTTGGTTTTAAATTAGCGGAATTTTTGTAAAAATACAGAATCTCAAAAAATATTCAACATTTAAATTTGAAATTGCTTTTAAAAAAGATCTCTAATTTTGTACACTCTATATAATTTATCCCTGAAATTAAAATTTCATACACCCTGTATCTGAAATATGATGGTAATATTATAGCTAACGGATGAGCCAAAAAGTTAAATTTATCATTTTTTCAATTCCAACAATTTTTCATTTTTTGACTACATTATGAGAAAAAAATAATCGTCTTTTGATATACTGGGTGTCAAGATTAAATTTTTGGTTTCTAATGGAGGAGTCTTGATGAAATATTTTGCCGACTTTATATTAAAAGAATACAGGGTGTCAAAAAATATTTAATTTTCAAATTTAAACACTTTGGTAAACTGCAAAATTCAGCCATGGTCTTTAAAAAGATCTCTTGATATTTTTAAAGTTTTTTGCTGAATATTAATTAGGAAATAAAAATTGAGATTTACCATTTTTTCAGTTTTTACATATAAATATACAGGGTGTTACAATTTGAACTTTTTTTCTTAAAAATGGCGTAATTAGAGTGCATATTTTTGTCAGAAAAATTCAGTCTAGTTTTCTTTTTTGGACACTATTTCGTCGAATATACAGGCTGTCAAGTACATAATTTTGAATTTTTCGATTTCAGAATGGCATAAATATTAACATTTTATATTATTTTTGATTCCGCCGTGTCTTGTGTATACAGGGTATAAAAAATTAAATCAAACAATCAGACAGTCTTTTGGTTTACTCTGTATATGAATTACTTTGACTGACTCTTCGGCGTCGTCTTCGCTACTCTGGCTGATCAGTGACGTCCTCAAAAAATAAAACATGGTTTCGCGTCCAATCAAACCATCACCCAGAAGGTCATAAACCTAGAAAAAATTAAAAATTAAAAAAAAACACAATTTTTTTGTAACAATTACTGAAAAGCAATAGTCGATTTTTTCTTCTAAAGTCCCTTTCAACCAAAGAGATAAAGCCGTCGCCCAAGTCTCCATTGAGACACAGGTACTGGGGCCCCTTTCAAAAACGGAAAAAATCCGGTCCATAAGTCCATCATCTGTCATATCAAGTCCACTGTGGAGCACATCCCGGAGTTGGTTTTTGGAAATTCCGTTCAGATTCTTATCAGCATTGTCCTTCTGGAGTTTGTAGTAGATGATAAAGATGCATTCTAGTTCAGTATAAGTGAAATGTAGTTTTTTTGCCAATTTCTGTATCAAATCTGAGTGTTTTTTCTTGAATCGGGTCTCCTCCATGGAGTCCATGGAGGAGTCCAAGTTGACCCCGAACGACATTTTAACCACTTGTCAAATTTCAAATTGAACTGTCAAAAAATCTCGAGTATCCTTGATTCAGATGCGTCGGAAAGAGAGAGAAGGGATTATGCAGGAGTTGTATGAGGAGGAACAGAAACAGGCGATCGAGCAGCGCCACAAGGCCAACTTGGAGAAGGAGTTAAGGCAAAGGATTGAGGTTAGGGAGTCGTTGAGGGACCAGATGGAGCAAAGGGAGGAGCGGTTGAGGGCGGAGGCGGCTGCGGATGCGAAATACAAGGAGGAGTTGTTGGCCAAGTTGGCGGAGGATCAGAAGTTGGAACAATTGACGAATGAGAAGCGGAGGTTGAGGATGTTGGAGTGTCGGAGGGAGATTGAGAGGATGATGGAGGAGAGGAGGCAGAGGCATGCGGAGGAGATGCAAGTCTTGATGAAGTTGAAGGAGCAAGAGGAGGTGGAGGCGGAAGAAAGGTGGGGTTGGGGGTTTTGGGGGGGATTTTTAAATGATGTTTTTTTTTCAGGAAGAGGATTATTGAGGAGGAGAGGTTGAGGATGTTGAAGGAACATGCGAAGAATTTGATCGGGTATTTGCCCAAAGGGGTGTTAAGGCCCGACGATTTGACACATTTGGGCAGTGATCTTGTCTGAAATAAAAAATTTTACTCAAAATGGTGTTTTTGTAATCGTGAAGAATCCAAATCCAAACTACAAAGTAGAATTTTTATAGCTTATAAATTTAAAAAAGTTGTGGATATTTCTGAAAAAAATTACATTTGTAAAACTTTTATTTTGTGCAGCCCTGAATTTGCAGGAAACAATTTTTTTAATGATTTTTCTTTTGTTTGCATTTTTCTCTTCTATGGAATAAAAACACTCAGGAATTACAATTTCTTTTTGGGCATCCCTGAAACGAATTAATTTTCTTCACTCCTGATTAAAATAATCATATTTTTTCTATTTTTGTTCTCCTAAAATAGTTTTTTTATTCAATCACGTTCTAATTTAGTTTTGGACAACCTTAGAATATGTTCTATAAGATTTTTATTTTTGTTTTGAGAGGATTTTTTCACTTTTCATCATTTTTTTCAGTTGTAAGGACTTCTTATAAAAAAATTAAAATTCTTAGGTAATATGTACTTCCTATTCCTAGTTTTTTTATTTCGTTACTGCTTGTTTGTTCTCTTTTTGTTTGCATTTAGAAAAATTCATGGAGAACTTTTATGGAATAAAATAAATTTTACAGCAACTACATATGTTAATTTTGGGCACCCCTGAAACGGTTTAATTTTTTTTTCGTCCCAGATTAAAAAATTTCAATTTTTTGTATTCTTTCTCTTCTTGTAATATTGAACAGCCCTGAAATTTTCTAAAATTTCTACTCGTGATAACAAAATAAACATTTCAAGGCGTTATAACTTAATTTTGGACAGCCCTGAAATAAAAGTTACGACGAAGGGCTGTTTAAAATTTTCAAAAAACTTTTTTTTTAATTACATTCAAATTTGCAGGTTAATATGTATTTTTTCAATTTTTTTTATTTCTATAAAATAAGTAATGTTTTTTGTTTTTTCTTTTTTATACACCGTGTTTTAATTTTGGACAGTCCTGAAATCACTAGTTGGCTAGTTGAACGGTTGCCTACAGTACATTCAAAATTGAACGGTTGCCTAAAGTACATTCAAAAAATAATAAAAGGGGTGTCCAAATTTTCTAAAATTTCTTTAAAATTAAATTTTTGTCTACAGCGCAGTTAAATTTTTGACAATCCTGAAATTAGGTGACATAATTTTCGTCATTTTGTTTCATATAAAGTGTTTTCTTTCAAAATTCATTTTTGAAAATGTTTTTGGTTCGTTGCTTTGTAGGGCTGCCCAAAATTTCCAGAAACATATTTTTTTAAATAAAGTTAATTTTGAAAAAATTTAAACGATTTTTGAACTTTTTCAACACATTTTTTTAAATAAGTACCTAATATTTTTTGTCTTTTTTTGATACCGTGTAATACCACCGTGTTTTAATTTTGGACAGTTCTGAAATCACGAGACATAATTTCATTTCACAAAAAGTGACTTCACCTCTCACTCTTCGAAAATGTTTTTGGCTAGTTGAAGGGTTGACCAAAGTACATTCCCAAAAAAAGTAGAAGGGGTGTTCAAATTAAAAAAAAAAATCCATGACTTGTCACTTCCGCGTCCCACTTTTTTTATTTGTATATGACTGAGGTCGCTAGACCAAATTGATTTATTATTGATAAGAAGACATCGACTTTCACGTTCCTTGGCTGTGATAAGAAACAATTCCTGCTGACTTATCACATGACTTGCATTTCAACAGTACAACAAGAAACACATTTAATGACTACTTTGATCCATAATTGTATACAATTAGAAATTGTAGAAAAAAAAATGACGTAGTGAACATTTCCGTTAAAGTTGGCCATGAATATTTGACAAATCGAATGTCAAAATTTTACAACCTACTATTCGACAACAAAACTGTCATTTAGCATACTAGATGTTTGTAAGAAGAGGTCAGTACACTTATAACAAGATAAAGCAGTTCATGTTATTATTGACAATTTAATTAAAAAAAAAATATTATTATTATTATTATTTGAAGAGCATTGTTTAAATTTCTTAAAATACTTGACTTTAATAACAACTACATCAAAAACTATTAAAATATTTCAAGTATTTTAGACAAAAAGAAAGTAAGTAATCGGGCCCTGTTAAAAACTGACCTGTTTCCTTGGTTTCTGAGTCCGGATGGGTTCCACTAATTTATGATTTATTTAGCCTCTGGTTTACTCTTAACAATACCGCATTTAACTTAAAAGTAATAAAATTTTTAGTAGGTCTTAGGAAAACGATTTTTCTATATACTATATTTCAGTAATTTTAGTGATTTTCGGCCGAGTCACCCTGTATCAAAATTTAGTTCAAGGTCATTTGAATCTGTACTATTTGTTGACAAATCTAGTAGGACATTGATTAAGCATGACTTAACAATTCTTCTCCCATATAAAACCAACATGCAACTAGTTGTGTTAGTATCAAAGTCGTCATCATGTATCTAGTACTAGTGCTAGTGCTATTTTCCCCCCTAGTTGTCAACAGTGCTAACATCCTTGGTGTTTTTATGTTTCCCTCCATAAGTCACCAAGTCGTCTACCAGCCAATTTGGCGGGAATTATCCCTTCGAGGGCACAACGTGACTGTAGTGACCCCTGACCCCCTCAATGACCCCACTTTGACCAACTTGACCGAAATTAGTGTCCGTTTCGCTTATGATATCCTCAAAGAAAACCGTCTTCAGGATATAGTATCGAAAGATGCGAACCCTTTTGAGACCTTCAAGAGAATTTTCCCATTAATGGAGAAAATCTTGGAGGCCGAATTGGAGAGCCCCCCTGTGTCCCAACTGATCAAAAGTGACCTAAAAGTCGACTTGATCCTCTTTGAGTGCTTCCATCCGGCCCTCTATGGGCTCGCGGGGCGCTTCAAGGCCCCCATTATTGGAGTCTCGTCGTTGGGCATCTTCACTGCGGGGCATGATTCGGTGGGTAACCCCACCCATCCGGTGTTGTACCCAGATATCATGCTTAACTACCATTCTACCAAGTTGTCCATTTGGGGGAAAATCCAAACGGTTGTGTACAATTTGTGGAGTCGGTATTACTACCATTGGGTGGTGACCCCCAAAGCCCATGAGCTGGCGAGGAAATATTTCGGGGAAGTACCATATGTGGGCGATTTGGAGCGAAATGTCAGTATGTTGTTCCTAAATGTGAACCCGTTTATGTACCCACCGAGGCCCAACGTGCCCACCATTGTGGAGATGGGGCAAATGCATATCAAGCCCCCCAAGCCACTGCCTGAGGTAATTTTTTTATTTTTTTTATGAAATTTTTTTGTAAATTAAGCCCTTTTTGAACACATTATTTTTTAATTTTTTTCAACTGGTCACGGCCCCTGAGGCCCCCTTAAAAAATTGCAATTTTTTATTTCCAATTTTAACTAGACACCAAGCCTCACAAGCCCCCCTTTGTGGTGCTTTTATTACTTTTTTTTATCTAATAAATATTTTGAATATACATTTTGATCTTTTTTTGTATTTTTTTGTTCCAGTGTCTTGTTTTTTTCCTATTGCTGTTTTTTTTATTTTTTAATATTTTGAGTTTTCAGTTAATTAAAAAAAATCGTTTTATTCTAATTATGATGAAAAATGTAACAATTTTTTTAAACATTTTCAATAAAAAAATCAGCCCTTCACCATCAAAATATTTTTTGTGTTTTTATATCATAATTGTTTTACTATATTTTTTAAATAAGAACATTCAAGCTTTGGGGGTATTTTTTTATGTAAATTTCTTGTAAACTAATCTCCATTTGAAATTGTGATTTTTTAAATTTTTTTGACTAAAGACTTTTTACGCCCTCCGAGGGCACCTTAAAGGCATTTTTTGCATTTTGTAATTTTTATTAATTTTTTTGATGAGATTTTTTTTTCAAATTTTAATCTTGACGTCAAGTTTTACAAAGGGTACTGTGGTACTTTTATTACTTTTTCATTTAATAAATATTTTGATAAACATTTTGAGCTTTTTTCTTCCATTTTCATGTTCTTTTCTTTTTTGATTTTTTGCTTTTTCATTACGTTGAATTTTCAATTATTTTTTTATAAGAAAATATTCATTTTTACTCGTAGGTACTTTATTTAATTAATTTTTTTATTGTGTTT